ATATATATATATATATATAACTGAAAAATGAACAAATCCATTAAATCAAAAAGATAAAAGCAGGGCTATAGACAATATAGAGGTGTAATTGAGTTAAACTAACTCATGAGCCAGCTGCAGCTCTACTAAAAAACAAATAACACGTGAGCCAAACTCCATGAGCAAATAAACCAAGTTTAAATCAACCCTAACTTGACTCGTTGGCTTGCGAGCAAGCTCTAACATAAAAAAACACCTAAAATAAATTAGCATTCAAATTTTAAATATAAATTTGTTAAAAATATTTAAAAATCAATATATTAAGTAATTATTATTATTTCTCATCTAATTTATCTTTTTTTATTCATTTTGATACAACGAATGCTTGAATCAAAATTATTTTCTCAATTTCATAATAAGTGAGCCGGCTCGTAAGCTAACTTGAACTCGTAAAATTAAGCTGGATCTTGAACTTAATTAATTAATGAAGCTCAAGCAAAGGATGAATCGAGCTTATTTCAAAATGTGTCCACCCTAAGTAACATTATGATGATTAAAAGCTCAAGATTGAAGAGAATACCCATGATCTTTTGCAACTAGTTCGCATATTTCAATGTTCTTATTCCAGTCCATGTCCATTAACTTCTCAGAAGTCGCTGATTTCACCATTTCAGCAGCCATGGGCTATTATTGATATAAAATCTCTATCACAAAATTAGACCCATCTACAAGCAAGCTTCAAATGAATAACACTTCAAATCATCGTTAAACAACATTTAACCGATAAAAGTAGTTAAATTGAGTTTCCAAATTCCTAACTATAGTTCTTCAACCCAAAGCTCCCGTTTAAAGCTACGGAACGAAGTAATATATTAAATAAATCCAGAACTCACAAATTGGGGAAATAAATTAAATTCACTTCTGGTATCTTCAAATTTCAGTGTTGGCAATGAACACCAGCTGCCTGACACCCTGAAAGTCATAACCCCATAATGAAACAATTAGAAAGAAATAATAGGTATAGTCGATCATATTACGCTATAGAGAAGTCGAGAAAAAAAAAGGTGATGATGGCAATGACGGAGACCGCTTAGAGATGAGAAAAACGAAATCAACAGCTGAGACCAACAACGACTACCCAAAAACGACAGCAGATGAAAAAGCGTGCTAAGGGCGAGCACAAAAGAACACTGATGCAGTTCTCCTAAGATGTTTCAACCACCCAAGTGCTTCTAGCATAAATTAATGTAATTCAAGATCGTAAAAAGAACCAGGGAAAAAAAACAAACAAAAGACAAAAAGATTGCTAACTCGACCGACATATGGGTATATTGTCCTTCTCCAAATGAAGCCTAGGCGTGTCGCGATACGAATGGTTTCCACATTCCCACCGACTTCTTAGGGTTTGCCTTCTTGCCAAGCTTAAGATATTCCCCCAAAACCTCTGCACGCTCAGAGTTACGGCTCCACTTTCTTCCTCAATTTGGCACTTTTTGAGCAGTGCTTCCTCAGAAAATCGAGAATGGGACACCGCCGTTGGAGAGCAGTGTGCTTTGGGGGCTTCAGAGGGAGGGCAATGTTGAAGGGGAATGGGACACTGCCGGTGGAGGGCAGTGAGTGTGGGGGGCTGGTTGAAAATGGAGCTCCTATTTGGTCAGAAATCTTAAGGCAGAGAGTAACAGTTCAGTTAATTTTGACCAAATAGGAGCTCCATTTTCAATAATATGTTATTGGACTCCGCTGTTAATTTTGACCAACTTCCCAAATGGGAGTGTCCCCATTAACCAAATTCGAAACGGAGTCCAATAATATGATGACATGACGCACATGAGTCTTCAGTTAATTTTCGGTGAACTTGTTGAGGGGAGAGTAATGCGGAGTCCAATAATATGATGACACGACACACACGAGTCTTCAGTTAATTTTCGGTGAACTTGTTGAGGGGGCCGGCCAACCCAAATCAAAAAAGCATTACGAAATCATTTTTACTTAAAAAAAAGGCGCCAAGTCGTAAAGCAGTACTTTGAGGCGAGCTCTCCCATCAAACCAAAAAAGCATTACGAAATCATTTTTACTTAAAAGGTGCAAAGTCGTAAAGCAGTACTTTGAGGCGAGCTCTCCCATTTCGGATTCCCCCGCCTCGACATTTCATCTTTCACAGTTCAGTGCTAGGGTTCTAGCGAGCGCGCGAGGATCTACATTGTTTGAAGCAAGGGGAAAAGGCATTTTGTCGTTGTACATTCGAAGTTCAGAAGTTGATTTTTTTCGAAAATGATGGGCGCAAGCAAACCGAAGAAAAGAGGAGTGCTCCAAAGTCGTCGAGGTAATGATCAGAAGTTTGAGTTTTTTGAAAGTCTTTTTATTGGAACTCAGTGATTTTATTGTTGTGTTATTGTCATGTTATTGCAGTGTTTCCCTTGTGTTATTATTGTGTTATTGCCTTCCGTTTATACTAGTTTGAATGGTGTGTTATTGAAGTAGTGTTATCACCGAGTAATTCATGTGTTCTTTGGGTTTTAGTGATGATATTGAATGTTCCCATATGTGTTTAAAGGGATAAATAATTGAATAACACAGATGAATCCAAGTGGTGTTATGCTGGTGTTATTTAGTGTTTTGAAGTTGCATAGGTGTTGGATGGTTTTGATTTTGGATAAAGTTACTGATGTAATTTATATTGTCATATGTGTTTAAACTCCTTAATAATTCAATAACTCACTTAAGTGTCAGTGGTGTTATTATTGTGTTATTGTGTGTTATTCAGTCAAGAATGCATTTTTTGCTTTATTATTGTGTTGTAAGGTTATGTGTGTGTTGTATAGCTATGTTGTAGGGGTGTTATTAATGTCATTTGTTGTAGTGAATGACAAAGTGACTTTTTGTGGAAGTGTTATGCTTGTGTGATTGGATTTTATTGAGCGGATAACACATATTTCTCTCAATAACAAAGTGTTATGCGACATGTATAACACCATGAATGTCCTTGCATAACACATTTGTTATTGGGTGTTATTACACACAAGCATAACACATATAGCACCCTGAATGTCCTTACATAACACTTTTGTGATTAGGTCTTATTATGGTGTTATTTTAGTATTATTGTGTGTTATTGAGTTACAAATGTCTATATTTCCTTCAGACGTAATATATTGATTTCATGTCTTTCCTTTGTAGGTTTATGAATGCAAGGACATGCAATTGCAGATGTCGTCCATCTGCAGTAAGGGGTGCTTTGGATAGTGTCTGATATCTCCTATTGGAGGAGACGATGAATTCTTTAAAAGAAATGAATGTCTTCCACTTCTTTGATATATCTCCATATCCACAGAACAATGTGTTGGCATTGCACATTTTGAGATGTTGGGATAAAGAGAGGAGGGTGTTCAGAATGGGTGGGAAAGAAGTAAAATTGCACCCTGACCACTTGGCGCTTATATTAGGTATGCTTAACAGAGGGGAGGCAGTTGCGTGGAAGAAAACCCCCTCGTCTGGTGTGGATGCCCAAGAAATAAAGGATCAACTGATGAATTTTTCTGAAGGAGGTTCCTCCATTCCCTTTGAGCAGTTATACTTGAAGTTTTTACTAACAAATTTATTTTTCCCCTCGAGCAATTTTAGTGTGCCCACGGGACTTCTTGCCTTTGCAGAAAATGTACAGGGGTTTTCTTCTTTTAATTGGTCCGCTGCCATTTGTGAACTTATCATCGATCAAGTGAGCATCATTGCCAATAAATTAAGAAGAAATCAGTCACTTGGATATATCCAGGGTGTTGTTTTTATTTTAACTGTAAGTATATGTTTTATCTAAAATATTAATATACATTCTGAGGTTATTTGGAGTTTTATTGTTTTTGACATTCCTCTTTCTGATATGACACATAATCAGCTATGATTTTATGAGCACACCTCTGTGTTTGCTCCAAATGTTCCAGAGACTAGGCCTAGAATGCTAAGATGGCCAACAAATCATGGTAGGACAGCAGTTGAGATTCACGAGGCCTTAAAAAAACTTTGTCATGCAAAGGTTAAACATTTAGTTTATTGCACAATTTAATGCTTTATTTATTCATTCATTTCATCGATAGTAAGTGCATTTTTAATGGTTTTGTAGGTTAATGATTCCTTCATTGATTGGAAAGAGAATGAGCAGCACTTACTCTCCAACTCGGAAGAAGGACAACCAAGTCCTGCCAGAGTTGTCACACATCAAGAAATAGTTGTCGGGCCATCTTCACCATTACCTCACAGCATCGGACCACTTGTTTCCAACGAGATCACCCCCACCCCACAAGAGACATATCTAGAGAGCAATAAAGAATTTGGAATAATAATCGACCTATTAAAAGGTCAGGAAAGGTCTAATATTGCATTACATGAAAGCATGAGAAAAATGACTCAGCAGATGGCATGTGCGGGTGAGTCATTACAAAACTTAACTGCTATGGCGAAAGTTTGTAGAGAACCAAAGCAGATAAAGAAGTTGATGTACATACAGCCGGAACCCACAGATCCTCTGCTCGAAGCGTTAAGTCTACCCTGAAAAGGAGGAGAGCAGTGGGTTCATTTGAGTTCAAACACGAAATAAAATGACTGTGTTATTGGACTATTGTATACATGTATTGATGTTATTAATGCGTTATTGGGTAGCTCTTCAAATATATTTGCAAAAATATTGTTGTTGCAGCATGAACAACACAAAAACCAAATATTTACAGGATTTTAATGCTAAATTGCTTTTCCTAAAAGAAAATTATCATCATGCAAACATTATACACAAGTCAACAAACAAAATAAATAATAATAATGATTTATAATACATTAAAGGTCATTTATCGAATCCATCAAGAACCCAGTGAAGGTTTGAGTTGATAATTGTAATGGATAATAATCATGTCATGTTGTAAAGAGAACAAAGTATTAGAATAATCGATGGCAGAAAAGCCTGAAAAAGAAGATATGTCGAATTTTCAATGATTTACCTGGCTGAGACAATCAGGCAAAATTGGATCTACTGGTATAGCAGACTCTTGGCTTGTAGTCTGTTTTGGATCTTTTCCTGTACACAGAACTTATGGTTAGAGTAAACAAATAAAAAAATAAAGTTGGAGCAGTTTTAATAATGTTCAGATATATACTTTTGGATCTCTGATTCTTCTCCCAATAACCTTTCGGCCTAGAATTCAAAACTCCTTTTCGCCTGATCTTTGCTGGGTCAGCCACAGTGTGATCACTTTTTTATGGTTTTTTCTTCTTTGTTTTTCTATGAACGTTAGGTGTTTCCCCAGCTTTTGATTCATCAAGATCAACTGATAGCTTTTTAAATGTTTCCCAAAACAACTGTTCGTTAAGTTCGTCGCATTCTGCTTTATTTATTAGTTGATATGCAAACTTCTGAGATTGATAACGAAATAAAAGACCACTAGAGGAAGCAGGCGTCATTTGAGACTCCTTTGAGATGTTTGTATTCAAACCTTATAGATGTCTCTTTTAGCATGGACAGACTATCGCATCAACAAATACTTCTCAGGAATAATATTTATTTTAAACACATTAAGAAGATGGAGTGCATGAGAACTCAACATCCCCTTCATTTCAAATATCCTGTAATTACAGGTTACATCAGAATTAACACTGTCAAAATTCACTATCCATGTCTTCAATGTGCCATAGTTATCCAAATTACGTATGTAATACTTTGACCCACTTTCTGCGGCGAATTCAAGTGTAAGTCCAGACAACCCATTGAGTAGCTCTTGCTCAAACATTGAGTAAAGCTTCCTCATATAAAATAAGGAAGCTTGCCACAAAATAGGGTTGACTTTAACAATCGGCGTAGTGACAGATTGGCCACATTTGAAATCTTCATCATTTTCATTCATGCGCCATGATTTCATTATATTTTCAAGGCCGATAAAACAATCTATCAAAGAGCTATCAAAGAGCTTGTGGGCTTCAAAACACCATGGCATACATTATTGGTAGACTCACTTCTTTGAGTTGATAGGATTTCCATTCAAAATATTTCTTTATTGAAGGAAGTGGACCATTTGTGTCTGATTTTGTACATGTCATGCAACCACACATTACTATGTAGATCACCAACTTCAATCATTAATGACCAGGTTTCTTCAAACTCCTCCTCTGAATCACATTTACTCATGCACTTATAAATTAGTCCGTTGGTGCTTTTGACATTTACTCATGAACATATAAATTAGTCCAGTGGCGCTCTTGATTGCAACTCCACAATGCACTTTTGAAGTATTTTATATATATATATATATGCCATTGGCATAATCTGTGTCGTGTTTGTGGGAGACACTCTTCAATGGCCCTTATCATAGCTTGGTCCTGATCGATGAAAATACTTATTGGATGCTTGTCACCC